TTGCATGAACTCATCCTCGCATACAAGAATAAGCTTCAGTCAATGTCCTCCATATACCTGACATTTACAACTAACGAGATCAGTCGATTCTCGCAGCCGTCAAATCAGGAACCACAATTTATACTCAACACACTAACGAAAACATACTTCAAAATACATACCCAAAAATCAATAACAAAACCTGAAAAACAAAGACAACACACTCACTTCATGCGCATCACATCACATCACATCCAATCGCACACTATACAATACCATCGTGTAGCATCCCACTCAACTCAACTCCACTCCACTTCACTCATTCGCATACTACCACATACCAACAATCACTGGGATCATAGTCAAATACTGAAAAATAATTAAATAAACAAAAACCACACCATCATATCCTCATCCATTATCACAAGTAAAACGGACAAACACAATTACAATTAAACAATTCAGAAAGACTAATCTTGCCAATTCACGAAACTTCCGTACAAGGCGAATATTCATCATCGACAACTACCACCAGATACCAACAACAACAACAACCATCCGATCAACCAAAATCACAACAGCATCCCAATAAATACACATGCACAAAAACCATTCGCAAAGCATTCTCAACACCACCCATCAACAACCAAATACAATACATTCGTATCGCCCCCCCCCTGCCGGCCGATAGCTGCTACCTTGACGTGGTGGTCGGGCTTGCATATCACAATGACCCAACGAGCTATGCTGGTGGAACGCTTGTTCCCTCGAGGTCCTACCATACCAGAAAGGTCTGTTGGGTAGTGGTTAGACGAAAAGCAGTTACCGTCATAGTGTAAATTGCTACACTATGATGGGGGTCTGAGGGCGAAGTCGTACTGCTGCTAGCTGGATGGGGTGTGACAGCAGTAAGGTGTTTCCCTTGGATGACCAGCAGTGCCAAGCTGATGCTGCCTTCTCAGTGGAAGGGGGGGTTAGAAAAGGTCGGCCCCAAAAATAACACACTCCACCACGCCCCACGGTCTGCCGGGCCGGCGGTGTTGGTTCACTTGTCGTTTCCTTTCGCTCATCCGGCCCCAAAAATACAAAAATTCAAAATAATCATACTCAAAAGGCTGGGTGTGACAGGCCTCAAGCAGATGTCCGATGGGCTCTGCGGTCACACAAATCTCTTTCAGGTACCTTAAGAAGAAATAGCCTTCCACGGTGTGGGCAGCCGGGAAGTGTCAACCGCCCTCACAACTCTGTCAGCACCCAAGTTTCTTCTGACTGCTATCCTCCTCCTCCATCATTACCTTCTAATCTTCCTTCACGTCTCTTAATTAATGATGCTGCATCATCTTCAATTTCTCCTACCTCTGCAGCCTTCGACAACGATCTGAGTCCACAGAACAGCGTCCCTGGTCTCCTTAAACCACGCTCCAAATTACATATTGGAGCCTTCAATGTCCGCACCCTCCGTCAAATTGGCCAACAGGCTTCGTTGGCAAAGACTCTAGCAACTCGAGGCATGGATGTGTGCTGTGTTTGTGAGACACGCATACAGGACCCAAGTGTGGTTATTCACCTGACCTCTCCTGACCAATCTGGTGAATCTGCAAAATTCACCCTTCGAGTTTCTGGAGATTCGATAGCTAGCTCTCGTGGTCTTGCAGGTGTAGGTATAGCATTAAGCACCAGGGCAGAAAACTCACTACTAGACTGGATCCCAGTTGATAGTCGCCTCTGCGCTATGAGGCTGAACGGCACAGTGAGAACTAAAAGGAATAGTGAGACTCGCCGTTGTCTCTTTGTAATCTCTGCTTACGCACCCACTGACTGTAGTTCGGATGAAGTGAAGGACGAGTTCTACCATAAACTGTCTAACCTCCTCTCGAAAGCCAAACGTTCGGACGTAGTGGTTGTTGCAGGTGACCTCAACGCACAGGTGGGTAGACTGAGTGAGGCAGAAAGGCACTTAGGTGGCACTTTCGGAATCCCAGCTGAACGTACAGATAACGGTGATCGCCTATTACAACTATGCTCAGATAACCGCCTATTTTTAGCCAGCACAAATTTCAGACATAAAGAAAGGCACTGTCTGACCTGGCGTCCACCGAGCTCGACTCAGCGATGGACACAGATAGACCACATTGCTATTAGTCATCGCTGGAGAGGATCGGTGGAAGACTGCCGCTCCTTCTGGAGTACGTGTTTGGACAGCGATCATGCGTTGGTCCGAGCACGTATATGCCTGCGTCTCAATGGACGTAGAAAAAATTTGGCAACAAAACCACTACGAGTTCTGCTGGACAACGAAAACACCAAAGCCGTGTTCAGTGAGAAGTTGGCTAGGCAGTTATCGGAACAAAAGACTGTCACTCATCCAGAAGAAGCTTGGTGCCATCTTCAGTCTACTGTAAAAGCAGCACTGGAGACTGTAGCCGACTCCAAGATAATGGCTAAAAAGAGCCAGTGGATATCAGCAGCTTCTTCCAAACTAATGGATGCACGTGAATGCATCCCTGCAGGCTCTGAGTACAATGAAGAGCGAGCGCAACTTAAAAATAAACTGACGAAAAGTCTGCGCAACGATCGTGAACAGTGGTGGGCAGCAAAGGCTAAAGAGATGGAAAAGGCAGCGGCGATCGGTAACAGTAGACAGTTATTTAGACTTATTAAGGAGACTGGGGGGAAATGGTCAACAACAGTTAGTGAGGTTATAGCGGAGAAGGACGGATCGGCGATTCACTCGCAGGGAAGGCGACTGGGACGATGGGCAGAACACTTTGAGGAACAGTTTAACTGGCCTCCAGCCACCATTGCGCTGCCCGCTATCCAGTCGGACCCTGAATGGGACATAGAGACAGGTCCCCCAACACTAGAAGAAGTTGAGAAAGCGGTAGGTAGCCTGAAACGGGGAAGGGCAGCAGGACCAGACGGACTACCTGCTGAGGTATACAAGAATGGTGGTAGAGTTCTCTTAGTCAGGCTAACGGAAGTGTTAGCCAGTATATGGGAATCAAATACGATCCCCTCCGACTGGTCTAAGTCACTCATCATCCCAGTCTTCAAGAAAGGCGAGAAGTCCTCTTGTGATAACCACAGAGGAATCAGCCTGACAAACATAGTGTCTAAGATCCTAAGTTCTATAATTCTCCGACGCCTGAGTGGAGCTCGGGAACAGCAAGCCCGAGAAAACCAGGCAGGCTTTAGACCTGGCCGTGGATGTATCGACCAAATATTCACACTGCGCCAGGTCCTGGAACATAGGCATGCTTACAGACGCCCGACAATAGCTGTATTTCTCGACCTGAAGGCGGCATTTGACTCCGTTGATCGAGAAGTCTTATGGCAGTGTCACTGAAAGGCGTGCCTAGTAAGTACATCACCTTATTGAAAGCTCTCTACTCGAACACTTGTGGGCATGTTAGAGCCTATGGTGAGTTGTCCAGGGAGCTATACTCATCAAGTGGTGTCCGTCAAGGATGCCCACTATCCCCATTCTTATTTAATTTTATCATAGATATTCTTATGGAGGTTTCCCTCTCGTCACCTAATTACAAAGACGTTGACCGGATCACAGGTGAATTTTCCTTAGATCTAGAATATGCAGATGACATAGTCCTGTTAGGTGAAGACGCTGACAAGATGCAGAGTCTTCTGAACACTTTGAGTGGGAATTTGAGAATGTTTGGGATGCGATTTTCACCACCCAAATGCAAATTTTTGCTCCAGGACTGGTCTTCAGCGGTACCGCGGTTAACAATAGAGAGTGAAGTGGTTGAGTGTGTTGACCACTTCACTTACCTGGGAAGTAGGATCAACTCCGGTGGGTTAGTTGCCGATGAGATTTCTGCACGGATACAAAAGGCTCGATTGGCTTTTGCCAATTTGCGCCACCTATGGCGCCGCCGTGATATTCGTTTGTCTATTAAGGGTCGCGTGTACTGCACAGCAGTCCGCTCTGTTCTACTGTATGGCTGTGAAACATGGCCATTGAAAGTGGAAGACATGAGAAGGTTACAGGTATTTGACCACCGTTGCCTTCGTAGTATAGGACGTATTCCGTGGTGTCACCATGTGAGTAATGCAGAAGTTAGGTGTAGAGTTTTAGGGAGAAGAGGTAAGTCAGTCGACGAGGTTGTGAACCTTCATCGACTGAGATGGTTGGGACACGTACTACGTATGCCTAGTCACCGATTGCCTCGTCACACAATGTTGGCTGAGGTGGGTTCAGGCTGGAAAAAGGCCCGAGGTGGCCAGACTAAAACATGGCACCAATGTATGAAGTCTCTGACTGTTGGTTTAAGCCATGTAGGACGATGCAGACTAGGTGGTTGGGGTTGGCGGGACAAGAGGAACCAGTGGTTGGAGACCCTAGGTGATATGGCTCAGAACCGAAGTCAGTGGCGCAGATGTATACACACATTATCCTCATCTTAACAACGCTATACCGAATCTCACTATTTTGTCACTCCTCTTTCCTTTCTTCTCGTACTTTATATTTCTTTTGACTGCATTCACTTATCTTCATCCTTCACCTCACTACCTTTTTACTTGATGTGCTGATATGAGGTGTGGCAACTCGGACAGTTACACAGTAATGCCCGGTCCTACGTTGATAATGATGATGATGATGACATTCGTATACCCTCAAATAAATTAACACATCTAAGTCTACATAAACACACGCTTCACTCACCTAATGTACAACGACGACGACCATCATCCATCCCTATACAACTGCATACCTTCGTCAACAACTGCAAAACACAAAACAAAACAATACATCATCATCACATAACAAGAATCACCATTACAACACAACGATAACATCCATCGACTCCAAATCAGAAACAATTAGCTTTCCTGCGTCACTGATACCTCAGAAACACGGACCTAGACATCATCATAAGCCACATTCTGCATCAACAACAACAACAACAACAACGAAAAATAAACATCAAACAATAGACCAACATCACCCCACACAACCATTCACTACTCAAAAAGAGAAACACACTATATCACTTTAACACTAATCATTCACTCCCTGTCATCTTCTAACATCATCTCAAGAAACCAGACACTTACATCAACCGCCAATAATCCAAGAGATAATCGATTGGTAATCATCGTGGTCTTAAGGTTGTATTGCTCCTGCTGGTCTGTAGATGACAGGTTTCTCGAATACACCTCCATCGTCACCAAAAGACACTAGATGTGCTTCGAACCCCCTTTTAAAAGTATCAGGAGATGGCACTGCAACAACGACTAAGGGAAGGGAGTTCCACAGTTTACAAACTCTAACCGCAAATGAGTTAGCACATCCTCTCACCATCCACTCACTCATCATCAACACGCTAAACACTCATCCAAATAACCAAACCGAAAATAAAAACCTCCACAATCACAATCCACTCCACCCCACTTCACTTCACTTCACTTCTTCACATACTACCACACACATACCAACAATCACTGGGATCATAGTCAAATACTGAAAAATAATTAAATAAACAAAAACCACACCATCATATCCTCATCCATTATCACAAGTAAAACGGACAAACACAATTACAATTAAACAATTCAGAAAGACTAATCTTGCCAATTCACGAAACTTCCGTACAAGGCGAATATTCATCATCGACAACTACCACCAGATACCAACAACAACAACAACCATCCGATCAACCAAAATCACAACAGCATCCCAATAAATACACATGCACAAAAACCATTCGCAAAGCATTCTCAACACCACCCATCAACAACCAAATACAATACATTCGTATCGCCCCCCCCCTGCCGGCCGATAGCTGCTACCTTGACGTGGTGGTCGGGCTTGCATATCACAATGACCCAACGAGCTATGCTGGTGGAACGCTTGTTCCCTCGAGGTCCTACCATACCAGAAAGGTCTGTTGGGTAGTGGTTAGACGAAAAGCAGTTACCGTCATAGTGTAAATTGCTACACTATGATGGGGGTCTGAGGGCGAAGTCGTACTGCTGCTAGCTGGATGGGGTGTGACAGCAGTAAGGTGTTTCCCTTGGATGACCAGCAGTGCCAAGCTGATGCTGCCTTCTCAGTGGAAGGGGGGGTTAGAAAAGGTCGGCCCCAAAAATAACACACTCCACCACGCCCCACGGTCTGCCGGGCCGGCGGTGTTGGTTCACTTGTCGTTTCCTTTCGCTCATCCGGCCCCAAAAATACAAAAATTCAAAATAATCATACTCAAAAGGCTGGGTGTGACAGGCCTCAAGCAGATGTCCGATGGGCTCTGCGGTCACACAAATCTCTTTCAGGTACCTTAAGAAGAAATAGCCTTCCACGGTGTGGGCAGCCGGGAAGTGTCAACCGCCCTCACAACTCTGTCAGCACCCAAGTTTCTTCTGACTGCTATCCTCCTCCTCCATCATTACCTTCTAATCTTCCTTCACGTCTCTTAATTAATGATGCTGCATCATCTTCAATTTCTCCTACCTCTGCAGCCTTCGACAACGATCTGAGTCCACAGAACAGCGTCCCTGGTCTCCTTAAACCACGCTCCAAATTACATATTGGAGCCTTCAATGTCCGCACCCTCCGTCAAATTGGCCAACAGGCTTCGTTGGCAAAGACTCTAGCAACTCGAGGCATGGATGTGTGCTGTGTTTGTGAGACACGCATACAGGACCCAAGTGTGGTTATTCACCTGACCTCTCCTGACCAATCTGGTGAATCTGCAAAATTCACCCTTCGAGTTTCTGGAGATTCGATAGCTAGCTCTCGTGGTCTTGCAGGTGTAGGTATAGCATTAAGCACCAGGGCAGAAAACTCACTACTAGACTGGATCCCAGTTGATAGTCGCCTCTGCGCTATGAGGCTGAACGGCACAGTGAGAACTAAAAGGAATAGTGAGACTCGCCGTTGTCTCTTTGTAATCTCTGCTTACGCACCCACTGACTGTAGTTCGGATGAAGTGAAGGACGAGTTCTACCATAAACTGTCTAACCTCCTCTCGAAAGCCAAACGTTCGGACGTAGTGGTTGTTGCAGGTGACCTCAACGCACAGGTGGGTAGACTGAGTGAGGCAGAAAGGCACTTAGGTGGCACTTTCGGAATCCCAGCTGAACGTACAGATAACGGTGATCGCCTATTACAACTATGCTCAGATAACCGCCTATTTTTAGCCAGCACAAATTTCAGACATAAAGAAAGGCACTGTCTGACCTGGCGTCCACCGAGCTCGACTCAGCGATGGACACAGATAGACCACATTGCTATTAGTCATCGCTGGAGAGGATCGGTGGAAGACTGCCGCTCCTTCTGGAGTACGTGTTTGGACAGCGATCATGCGTTGGTCCGAGCACGTATATGCCTGCGTCTCAATGGACGTAGAAAAAATTTGGCAACAAAACCACTACGAGTTCTGCTGGACAACGAAAACACCAAAGCCGTGTTCAGTGAGAAGTTGGCTAGGCAGTTATCGGAACAAAAGACTGTCACTCATCCAGAAGAAGCTTGGTGCCATCTTCAGTCTACTGTAAAAGCAGCACTGGAGACTGTAGCCGACTCCAAGATAATGGCTAAAAAGAGCCAGTGGATATCAGCAGCTTCTTCCAAACTAATGGATGCACGTGAATGCATCCCTGCAGGCTCTGAGTACAATGAAGAGCGAGCGCAACTTAAAAATAAACTGACGAAAAGTCTGCGCAACGATCGTGAACAGTGGTGGGCAGCAAAGGCTAAAGAGATGGAAAAGGCAGCGGCGATCGGTAACAGTAGACAGTTATTTAGACTTATTAAGGAGACTGGGGGGAAATGGTCAACAACAGTTAGTGAGGTTATAGCGGAGAAGGACGGATCGGCGATTCACTCGCAGGGAAGGCGACTGGGACGATGGGCAGAACACTTTGAGGAACAGTTTAACTGGCCTCCAGCCACCATTGCGCTGCCCGCTATCCAGTCGGACCCTGAATGGGACATAGAGACAGGTCCCCCAACACTAGAAGAAGTTGAGAAAGCGGTAGGTAGCCTGAAACGGGGAAGGGCAGCAGGACCAGACGGACTACCTGCTGAGGTATACAAGAATGGTGGTAGAGTTCTCTTAGTCAGGCTAACGGAAGTGTTAGCCAGTATATGGGAATCAAATACGATCCCCTCCGACTGGTCTAAGTCACTCATCATCCCAGTCTTCAAGAAAGGCGAGAAGTCCTCTTGTGATAACCACAGAGGAATCAGCCTGACAAACATAGTGTCTAAGATCCTAAGTTCTATAATTCTCCGACGCCTGAGTGGAGCTCGGGAACAGCAAGCCCGAGAAAACCAGGCAGGCTTTAGACCTGGCCGTGGATGTATCGACCAAATATTCACACTGCGCCAGGTCCTGGAACATAGGCATGCTTACAGACGCCCGACAATAGCTGTATTTCTCGACCTGAAGGCGGCATTTGACTCCGTTGATCGAGAAGTCTTATGGCAGTGTCTGTCACTGAAAGGCGTGCCTAGTAAGTACATCACCTTATTGAAAGCTCTCTACTCGAACACTTGTGGGCATGTTAGAGCCTATGGTGAGTTGTCCAGGGAGCTATACTCATCAAGTGGTGTCCGTCAAGGATGCCCACTATCCCCATTCTTATTTAATTTTATCATAGATATTCTTATGGAGGTTTCCCTCTCGTCACCTAATTACAAAGACGTTGACCGGATCACAGGTGAATTTTCCTTAGATCTAGAATATGCAGATGACATAGTCCTGTTAGGTGAAGACGCTGACAAGATGCAGAGTCTTCTGAACACTTTGAGTGGGAATTTGAGAATGTTTGGGATGCGATTTTCACCACCCAAATGCAAATTTTTGCTCCAGGACTGGTCTTCAGCGGTACCGCGGTTAACAATAGAGAGTGAAGTGGTTGAGTGTGTTGACCACTTCACTTACCTGGGAAGTAGGATCAACTCCGGTGGGTTAGTTGCCGATGAGATTTCTGCACGGATACAAAAGGCTCGATTGGCTTTTGCCAATTTGCGCCACCTATGGCGCCGCCGTGATATTCGTTTGTCTATTAAGGGTCGCGTGTACTGCACAGCAGTCCGCTCTGTTCTACTGTATGGCTGTGAAACATGGCCATTGAAAGTGGAAGACATGAGAAGGTTACAGGTATTTGACCACCGTTGCCTTCGTAGTATAGGACGTATTCCGTGGTGTCACCATGTGAGTAATGCAGAAGTTAGGTGTAGAGTTTTAGGGAGAAGAGGTAAGTCAGTCGACGAGGTTGTGAACCTTCATCGACTGAGATGGTTGGGACACGTACTACGTATGCCTAGTCACCGATTGCCTCGTCACACAATGTTGGCTGAGGTGGGTTCAGGCTGGAAAAAGGCCCGAGGTGGCCAGACTAAAACATGGCACCAATGTATGAAGTCTCTGACTGTTGGTTTAAGCCATGTAGGACGATGCAGACTAGGTGGTTGGGGTCGGCGGGACAAGAGGAACCAGTGGTTGGAGACCCTAGGTGATATGGCTCAGAACCGAAGTCAGTGGCGCAGATGTATACACACATTATCCTCATCTTAACAACGCTATACCGAATCTCACTATTTTGTCACTCCTCTTTCCTTTCTTCTCGTACTTTATATTTCTTTTGACTGCATTCACTTATCTTCATCCTTCACCTCACTACCTTTTTACTTGATGTGCTGATATGAGGTGTGGCAACTCGGACCGTTACGCAGTAATGCCTGGTCCTATGTTGATAATGATGATGATGATGACATTCGTATACCCTCAAATAAATTAACACATCTAAGTCTACATAAACACACGCTTCACTCACCTAATGTACAACGACGACGACCATCATCCATCCCTATACAACTGCATACCTTCGTCAACAACTGCAAAACACAAAACAAAACAATACATCATCATCACATAACAAGAATCACCATTACAACACAACGATAACATCCATCGACTCCAAATCAGAAACAATTAGCTTTCCTGCGTCACTGATACCTCAGAAACACGGACCTAGACATCATCATAAGCCACATTCTGCATCAACAACAACAACAACAACAACGAAAAATAAACATCAAACAATAGACCAACATCACCCCACACAACCATTCACTACTCAAAAAGAGAAACACACTATATCACTTTAACACTAATCATTCACTCCCTGTCATCTTCTAACATCATCTCAAGAAACCAGACACTTACATCAACCGCCAATAATCCAAGAGATAATCGATTGGTAATCATCGTGGTCTTAAGGTTGTATTGCTCCTGCTGGTCTGTAGATGACAGGTTTCTCGAATACACCTCCATCGTCACCAAAAGACACTAGATGTGCTTCGAACCCCCTTTTAAAAGTATCAGGAGATGGCACTGCAACAACGACTAAGGGAAGGGAGTTCCACAGTTTACAAACTCTAACCGCAAATGAGTTAGCACATCCTCTCACCATCCACTCACTCATCATCAACACGCTAAACACTCATCCAAATAACCAAACCGAAAATAAAAACCTCCATAATCACAATCCACTCCACTCCACCCCACTTCACTTCAC